CCCTCCGCCCGATTACACACCTCTCCGCTGCGACCTCGACCCTTCCCCCTGCGCGCACGTGCGCTCGACCGCGCCGCGTCCCCCCTGCCTGATCCTGATTTCGCTCCCCTCCCCGGACCTTTCCCCTACTCCCAATTCCACTCCCAACCCCGACCCCGACTTTTCCCCGCTGCTCCACGATTCCGATTCCGCCCCATTCCCCCTCCCGATCCCAACCCAACTTCTCCCCGCGCACCTCCTTTCCCTTTGCCAAGCCCCCGGCTTTGCCCATTTTTCATTCCAACCCCGCCCGCTCCACTCCTTTCCCGCTCCGCCTGTGTGCCTCCCGCCCCGCTCTCTCCCTGGCCCGTTTCCCCCCGCTCCCCAACCCGGTGTCCTATGCTGCGCTCAACGAGAACATAATTCTCGTGAGGAGCAAAAGGACAACAGCTCATTTGACTTTGATTTCCAGTACGAATACAAACTGTGCGAGCGAAACCTATCGATCCTTTAACGCTTCTGGACTTGAAGCTAGAGGTGTCATAAAAGTTACCACGGGACAACTGGCTTGTGGCAACCAAGCGTTCATATCGACATTGCTTTTCGATCCTTCGACGTCGCTCCTCCTATCATTGTGGAGCAGAATTCACGAAGTGTTCGATTGCTCACCCGCCAGCAAGTCCTGCCAGCAAGTCGAGCACTTCGCCACGAGATCGTCATCGGCTTTTGATCCTTGATGGCATGGATCCGTCATCGGCTTTTGATCCTTGATGCCGCCGATCCACGCGCTCCAATGGATTAACAAGATTCCACTGCCCCTACCTAATTGGCCATGACAAGGATGCAGTGTTCATCATCATCATCATCATCATCATCATCATCATCATCATCATCATCATCATCATCATCATCATCATGGACGCCATTGTCAACATCATCATTGGCACGACTTCTCACCTTCACGCATTCGATCCGGAGACCTCGTCGTTCCACCGGTGAACAATCGAGAAGACCCTTTAGGGGTTGAATGAAGCCCTTCCTCGACTAGGAGGAAGGACCTTGATTGCTCCCGGCCGACCTGGAGTGCGGTATTGTCAATCTATCTCCCTCTTACTAATCCCCTCCCCTCCTCTCGCCGATCTCTCTTAAAAATTTCATCTTTTTCCTCTTCTTTCACCTCCTCCCCATCTCCTTTGCCCTCCTCTAACCCCCCGCCTAATCGGTCGCATCGTCCAAAATTCCTAATGCGCATGACGCATATTATCTCTTTTAGGGCTTGTTTGACAATGCTGTCCATCCTGTTGTTCGAAATTTTGATCTAATTCGATAGGATTAATCTTCATTTCCTTTCCTTCTGACGCCGTGATCGGAATGAATTCCGGCGTTTTTGTTCAAAAGTTACGCAAAATTCTTTATTATATCAAATCCCTTTTTTTTAATTCAAATTTAAAATTTAACTTTATTTCAGAAATTCGTGAAATCAATTTTGGAATTTACTAAATTCAATTCTTCTGATATCAAATTTCCTTCTATTTTCTATCCCCCGTAAAATTCCGAAATTCTTCTATTCTTTCTGAAATTATTTTGAAATTATTTTGAAATTTCTTTGAAATTCATCTTAATCTTGTAACAAGTCGAGAAATTTTGTTGATTTTGATCTAGATAATCCTGGAATTTCTCTCAACCTACTTTACGTGGCTATCACTAATTCTTTATGAAATTTCATCGTAAATTCTTAATGTAGGATTAGTTTTCTACTTTTATTTCAAATTGCCTCTGAAATTATTTTAATTCCGGAAATACACCACATAATTTTCCTTTTCCTTCAAACTTTTCCTCTGAACTCACCTTTATCTCTTCTATCGTCCTCCCGAACTTTCGGAATTTTTTACGAATAAGTTCAAAATTTGGTGAATTTTGTTTAAATTTTCTTAAAATTTTGAATTTACGTCCAAATCATTTCGGAATTTTATTTTGACCTCGTGATTGTCTTATGCATACCTTCTTCTATAACCCACGCTATCCTTTGGAAATTTCCTCTCATTCCCCCGCCCGAATTGGAAATTTTACTTTTCCTCCCTCAATCTGATTTTCAATTTTCTCGATTTAATCTCAGAAGTTCGTTAGACCTCATTTCCACTCGCCTTCCTCTCACAGTCCCTTACTCCCCTTCTGCGTGTCACCCTGGCTCCCCGTGACATCCAACAGCGTGCACTCCAAAATCGCGCTCGAGACACTCGTGCCGCCAATGGACTCGCTCGCTTTGACGCACCGACCGTGGCCACAAATCGTCCCTCTCGTCACGGTGCTCCCTCGACATCATCTTCATCTTCTTCATCTGTTGACTCCATACAGAGTGCAGAGTCGGTGAGCCCCTCCCACTCCATCAGTGAAGGGCTTGCGCTACTAGCTCGTGATACCATGGCTGATTCGGCTCACATTTCCACCCCTATGGCCACCAGTTCGGGTCCAGCCGCCCAATCGGATCGCTTACTAGCTCTCCTCGAGAGCATGCAGGCCCGATTTGAGGCCAGACTCGAGGCCAAATTCACGGCCCTCCATACCGACTTTTCATCCCGGGCCGTGTCACAGTTGGAGCCCCGTACCAGTGCACCTCCCTCCCCACCCGCCTCATCTGCATCTATGCCAACTTCCTCTCCTTCTTCGACTCGCGTCATCTACACGTTTGTCTCTTCTACAGGTTGCATGTCCTCACCCCAGTCCCACCCTTCTTCTGCAGCCATCTCTTCATCCCAGGTTTCCCCCTTTGCACCTCCCCCCTCAGGACCCATGGCATCTT